CCTCCCCTCCCCCTCCCGCGCGGCCCTGCCCCCGTGCGGTCGCTTGCGCAGGGCGGCCTGCGGGACTGCGATGCACGCTGGGACCCTGGACTGGGGACGGCAGGCAGACCCCACGCAGGGCCGGGTGCGGGGACAAAGGCGCGGGCGCCACCCGGCGGGGGTGCGGGGTCCCGGCCCGCCAAGCGCCGCGTCCGCGCCCCGCGTCACTTCCTGGGGGCGGGAGCGGCCCCGGGGGGCGCAGGCGGGCGGCGACTCGGGCTGCCTGGCCACCTGCCCCGCCGAGCTCGTTGCAGGACGGCCCGCGGGAAGGCAGTGCCCCTACATCCCGCGGGCCTTCCAGGTGAGGGGGTGGCGGTAGGGGGGTCCCCGCTGCTGCACGCGGCTGTGAGGAGGGAAATTCTTGCGCCAGAAGATTGCATCTTGACTCATTAAAAATAGTTGCTGCAAAGCCAACGCTTTATCCACAGAACATGGGCCCCAGAGCCCTAAAACTTCACAAATCCTCCGAGGTGACAAAATTGCTTGCCAGTGCCACTCTGGATACCACCTGTGTGTTCTTTTCCCGACTCCCAAAGCAGGAGGAGGCCCAGACCCCTTGGGGGTCACCTCGAGGCCTAAAGCAGCATTTGGGGTCTTGGGACTACAGGGGACATCCGCAACCGAGAAGCCATGCTTCCATGGTCCTTCTGGGCAGGTCCTGGGTCTCCGTGGTCATAGGGATGTCACCGGGGCCAGCTTGGTGTTCTGGTCATCTAGAGCCAGTCCAACCTCAAAGGTGCTCGCACTAGGGCCAGCCGCCTCTGCAGCTCCTGGCAAGGCAACGCCACCTGTGTTCACCCCGGAGTACGCCAGGGTCTCAGAAAAGGTGCCCAGCCCCACTGGGATAGGAAGGAGCCACTCAACTGTCCATTAGATTCTGCTCCCAAAAGCATACGCAAGTCATGATCTGTCCTTGTCCTTACAGGAGCCCTGGCAGATGTATTTGTTTCCACTTTACACAACCCCACAGACTTGTTTTAGGACGTGGGTGCAGGGGGTGAGGTGCACGAAAGAGCTGGGCTCCACGGTGCTGGTCAGCTGGTACCAGTTGTAGGATTACAAGCCTATTCCCTGGGGGGGGGAGGGCAACCCCACAGGAAGCTTTAAGGAGAAACCGGGAAGCTGGGACAACAGCATGGCAGGCTTTGCTGGGCGCTCTGAGAGACTGTCAAGAGGGTCACAAGTTCAAGCCTAGCCTGAGCATCTTAGCAACTTTAGAGAGATACTTTCTCAAAAATAAAAAAAAAACAACAACAAAGGGCTGAGGCTGTAGCTCAGTACAAAGGCCCTGGGCTGCATCTCTACTACTGGAAAAAAAACAACAACAGCAAAAACCCCACATACAACTATTTAGCTGTATTTACTACTCTGTGCTCTCAGATTGAAATTTACTGAATTTTACAGATAAGGGAGAATATTTCTGCTTTGTAATGATGGAACTGCATTTAACAAGAATCATGATCGATTAACTCAACTGGATAATATTGTTTAACATAACAGATCAGACCCAACTCTGCCATGTAGAAAGGTGGCATTTAAACCATCCCTATTACTATCTGCAGTCCTGGGCTTGGCCTGCAATGAAAATGCACGCCCCATGGGTTTAAACAAAGTTACTGTTTTTAAAGGGCTTCCTAACCAAGTGCCCTGTGCTCTCTCCTCCCTTAGGAAGCACCAGGGCAGTGTTGAGTTTGAATCAGAACTGCTCGGCCCTGGTTCTTAGCAAAGACAGTGTTTGTGAGCAGAATCTTCCTCTTGGGCTCTTGTATCTGGTTCCTTTGGAGAAGTAGCAGAGAACTATTTTAAGGTTTTCAGAAATTTTCTTTAGCGTTAGTAACTGAATGAGGCATGTTCAATGCAGAGGTTCCTAATTAAGGCATTGGGGGTAATAAAAGTTGCAGGGCGGAATTGAGGCCCTGACAAAAGAGAATTAAAGATCCACAAGAGACCTGACTTACGCTGGAACCCGGAGGTGCATTGGCCACAGCCAGCCAATGGGCGAATCTAAGCAAGAGCTGTCCGGTCGGACAGGGCCAGTGAGCACGTGGCATGTTGCTTAAATGCTTAATTTCTTTTTCTTTTTCTTTTTTTTAATTTAACTTTAAAAACTGATTCACAGTTTGGAAAGTTTTAAGATAGGTTTGAAAAAATACATAAGTGTATGAACTTAGGCCTATAAATTCCCTGACATCTAATCACAGATCAAGTGGTTCTAACGAAAACTGGACCACCTACATCAGGCTGTGTCGTAAATGTAAAATGCACATTGGATTTTTGAAGCTTTGATTAAAAGAATGGGAGATATTCATAAACATGATGTGGATTATGCATTTAGGTGCTTGTCTTTATAGACTAAGAGCTAAGTAGACATTAAAAATTAGTTTCCCCTTCTTTAACTTTTTCAAGGGCAGGTACTGAGAAGCTCAAACTTCAGCGCATGGCCTCCGTGGCATCTCTGTTGGACAGCGCTCCCGTGCAGGGTCAGAACTGAGGAGAGAGAGGCTCAGGTGCTGGAGAAGCAGACGCCTTGATGTGAAGCTGTTGACTGTCAGCTCGGGGGTACTGCCCAGCTCCACCCTGCCAAGCTGCGCTATGGTAAGAGAACGCCTAGTAGGTGGCTCTTCATCTAGTAGTCAGCAGTAGTTAGTGTTACCGTCTTAGCAGAACACTAACTGGAAGACATGTTCGAATCATACAAGTGGGTGTGAACAGATCAGTCATACATAAACAAAAAATGTATCAGTGTGATAGACTCTACAGAGTTCATGGTGAATTCACAAAGTCTCAGGCCTTCCGCTTTAAATCCATCTAATATCTGATAGACTCACGCAGCCAATAGCTATGTAGTTGAGGCACACTTTGTTTCAGGCCTTCTGGGCTAAGTCTTTCACTTAAGCACACAAAAAAACCTTTCAGGCTGGACAGTTCTGTCAGATAACAAAGAGCCGCCCCAGCTAAGGCAGATGTCAAGGAAAGCTCTTCGCCCAGTCCGTGGGTCCTGCCTGCACCTCTGTGGGCAGCAGGGTGCATTTGCTGTGAATCCAGAGTAACGGAGGCTTGGAATGGCCTCAGTGAGGAGGTCTGCTGGGTTCACACCTGCAAAACTGCTGCTGTTTACATCACGTCCAGTTGCAGCAGGGCTGAAAAGTGACAGCGACAGTATTTGGACAGCACTTATCCTTTGGACCTTCAGTATCTGTAGAGCCACTCCTGCCCGGGAGGCAACTCTATTTCTGGGTTGTGCCACTGCGTGCACGTGTGCACACGCACACAGGCCGTGTCTCCGGGACAGTCACTCTCCTTCCAGCCTCAATCTCTCCACGCTCACCAATGCCCACGTTTGGAAATCACCAAGGGACTGTGCTCCTTGGCTCCTCCCCACCCTGCTGACATGGGTCTTCCTGAAAGTCCTTCCCACCTTCTCTGACTCCTTCTTCTGAGAGCCTTCCCTGGTGCCCCTGTTCCTCCCATGCCCAAGGAGCTGATTGATTCCTCACCCTGCCCTCTTCTGTCCCCTGGCCACTCTTGTGTCCCGGCCTCCAGGCAATCTCCCCTACCCAACTGTGGGCTGGGCTGGGTGATGTATCTTACCTCATTTTTTTTTTTTTTTTTTTTTTTTGGGATTGAACTCAGACCCTTGTGCTTGCCAGGAAAGTACTTATTACACTGAGCCATCTCCCCAGCCCCTTACCTCATTCTTTCTGCCAGGCCCAGTACCTAGCACTCAGTAGTCACCCGATTTCCTAAATGACCTCTGTGGACTGGTCCTGTCATCGATTCCCCTGCGTTTCCATACTCCTTTGAATTTCTAAGAAGTGTCATGTAAGGAACTGAAAATGTAAGGAGAATGAAGCCTATAACCGTGAGCTATTGGAGCAGATCTGGAAGAGTTGGCACCGTGTATGGACAGAGTAACTTCCTAGTGAATGGTATTGACTGAGTAGGCAAGGGACTGTTGTGTTTCCTGCAGGGTAGCCGTAGCTTAACACAGAGCTGCTGATTCACTGCTGTGTGATTTCATTATAATCATTTGTTTTTATCTATACAGAGGAACTACGGACCCCAGAGATTTCGACAGAACCATTTTAAGTGACTATTTGCATAAACTAAGGTTTACCGACAGCAAGGCCTGGTCAGGAAAAAGCACTTTAAAAAAATCAATTAAAAAATATAAAATAGAACAGTATGACAACAGAGTACTAGGAAGATCAGGAAGATCCATCTTCCGAGCAGGAAGATCCATCTCAGAAAAGAGTCAGCGAAGTTGGGCAGCTCCTCCTGAGCAAAAGCTGCCCTGGCCCATCACGCCACCACGCAAAATTGGAGGAGAGGAAGGACAAGCCACGCAGAGGTGACATTTGGGGTCAGCTCGGCAATGGCCTTTTTCACCAGTAGCTGGAAAAATCAGTTGGGAGTGAACATCAATAGCATCACCTTCACATGAAAGGGCAACGCTTGCTGAAACATCCACAAGCGTACGCGTGAGCACATAGTACTGTAGCTTCCAAATGGTAGTTTTGAAAGGTGACACTGCAAAACAGTGCTTTGAAAGTCCCTAAGGTGGGGGGAGGCCACCTTTCAAGTGGCATGTGTGCATGCATGGGGGACACAGTGTAATTCAGGGTCCTCTTAAGCAGCCTTGTAGTTGAGCCGTTGGAGTTCATGGACCAGATACTGACTGAGCCGCTCCTACGCTTGGCTCTGTCGATGTAGAAGCCTTGCCTCCGAGCTGTCCTTCCACAGACTGAATTTATGCAGTCC